AATAAAAAAAGTGAGTAAAAAAATTTATAAAAAATATAAATTTAAAACTTTTCAAAATTTATCATTTAAAATTTTTTTAAATTAAAAAAAATATAAAAATATAAAATAAACCGGGTTAAAAAACTGAAACTAACCAAACATGCTATTAATCAAACAAGAGGAAGTCAAATCACCGGCTGCGGTTGGTGGCACAACTGAAACAAGCATATTTGCATCCGGAAAAGAAAAAATATATTGGATAGGTCACTCAACTTAGTCATCAATTTTAGTTTTACTTAGAACTTTAAAAATTTATAAATTTAGTCACCCAACTTGATGTTAAAGTTTAGCAGTCACCAGCATTTTTCTTTTTTCTTTTTTTTTTTGGTCCATAAAACAGAGTATTGCTTTAGAAACAAAACGTAGTTAGTCGCTGGCGTTGATTACCGGTTGTTAAGTGTTGATTTTCCATTGGGTTTTGCCATGTCAACAAGCTTTTGTGTGAAATTTCCCCCACGTTGAATTTGTAGCTGTAAATTAGAAAAGTTTGTAAGTTTTAACGAGGAATGTTTAAACACATATTAAAAAGTGTATTTATTATTTTTTTATAATTAATTTATATAAAAAAAATAAAAATTAATTTTAATTTTATTAATTATCTAACAAAATTATTATACATGACATTAATATTAAAAATAAATTTTATTTTCATAATTTTTCATACAATTAATAAAGAAAAAGTATAATAAATACAATATTAACATATACTTTTGAATCATAAATTTAAAAAGTCCATAAAAAAAAAAAAAGCATAGAAACTCAAGAGTTCTAAAGGTTATTAACTATAAAACTACAAAAGGTCAGCACTACCACGAATGCAATTTGATTGTTTCAATGATGTAAAGAGTTATTTCCATATCCAGGTAAGTAACTCATTAATTAGTAAAAAAAAATTACTAACAGTAACAAATATAAATGAAGAATTAGAAGACAATAAAAGATAAAACACAAACAATTAATGAAAAATAAATAATTTTATTAGTACAATTAACATTAACATACAACTAAAGCATGCGAAAGTAAGAACCAACTTGAAAGTTCTAGGATCCAAAAACTTGAAGGGACCTTATATTTAAGATTTAATTTTGTTTTAGGTCATAATAGAAAATAAATTAAGGAATTTACGTATTATAACAAACCCATAAATGCTTTTAACTCTTGGAAAATGTCCTTACCCTATTGTAAGCATTCCAGCACGCACAAAAAACAAAAACAAATAAAATCATAATCAAGTTCTGAACTTCGTTGTGAGGCCCCGGGATGCCTTTACTAAAGGATAAACTCAAGGTCCCACCACTGTAATAATAATGAAATATACAATGCAACATGAGTAGAAACTAAAAAG